ATTATAGGGAAAGAAGGCATCAAGCCTAACCCTGAAAAGGTCAGAGCCATCACAGAGATGCTGCCGCCTTCGAACATTGCAGAACTGCGTCAAGCAGTTGGCATGATCAACTACCTAGGAAAGTTTCTGCCAGATCTCTCATCTGTCATGTATCCGATCAACAGCTTGCTGAAAAGAGACACTGCATGGACCTGGGGAGTTCCACAAGAAGTGGCGTTCAAAGAAGTAAAGGTGATGTTAACATCAATTCCTGTGCTAGCATATTACGATGCTAACAAACCGACTGTTGTTAGCGCTGACGCCAGCAGTTTTGGTCTGGGAGCCGCACTGTATCAGGAGTATGAGGAAGGACTCAGACCAGTGGCTTATTGCTCCAGGACGCTGACTGAAACTGAGCGACGGTATTCGCAAATAGAAAAGGAATGCCTTGCCAGCGTGTGGGCCTGTGAGAGGTTCTCCAGATACCTCCAAGGAATGGAGAAGTTTCGTCTTCAGACAGATCACAAGCCACTTGTTCCATTAATAAATTCATATGACCTGGACAAAGCTCCAGTCAGGTGCCAAAGACTCTTAATGAGACTGATGAGATTTAACGCTGAAGCGTGCCACGTCCCAGGGAAACAACTCATTGTTGCTGACACGTTGTCACGGAAACCTCTGCCGGATGGTGGTGGATCCAGCACGGAGGAAGTTGTCACAGCATATGTCCAAGCTGTGGTGGAATCAAGACCAATAACTCGAGACCGACTCGATGCCCTCCGACAAGCTACAATGCAGGATGGAGATTTACAGACGATCACAAAGTATGTTGTTGATGGTTGGCCGGAGGAATCGTCACACCTGTCGCACACTTTGCAGAGCTTTCATGCAGCCAGAGCTCACCTGTCAGCGGCGGATGGACTTCTACTGTATGATGACAGGATTGTTGTTCCTGAGCTGTTAAGGAAACAAGTACTGTCCCAGATACACGAGGGTCATCAGGGTCTCACAAAATGCAGACTCAGGGCCAACTTGTCCGTGTGGTGGCCTGGGATCGGACGACACATCACAGAGGTGGTCAGGTCATGTAGATTCTGTCAAGAAAACAAGTCATCGCAAAGGAAGGAGCCTTTGATGCCAACTCCTCTGCCAGATGGACCAGGACAGAAGCTTGCTGCGGACATTTGTGATCACGACGGGAAACACTACTTAGTGGTAGTTGATTACTTTTCACGTGATATTGAGATTGTTCATTTACGCACTATGACCAGTTTACATGTTATTGCACACCTGAAAACGATCTTTGCCAGATGGGGGATTCCTTTTGAGCTGATTACTGATAATGGGACTCAGTTTACATCTGCGGATTTCAAGCAGTTTAGTGTTGCTTATAATTTCAAGCACACGACATCTAGTCCACATTTCCCACAGTCTAATGGTGCGGCTGAGAGGAGCGTTGCTATTGCCAAGCGCATCCTGTGCCAGCCAGATCCACATTTAGCACTTTTAAGCTACAGAGCTACTCCACACACGGCGACTGGGTCGAGCCCGGCTCAGCTTATGATGGGGAGACAAGTTAGAACAACAGTTCCAGTCTTATCCAAACATCTGGTTCCAAGTCAGAAAGATTACACTGCTGTTAGAAATGCAGATAGGAAAGCTAAAGCTTCCTATTCCTACTTCTATAACAGACGCCATTCTGCTCGCCAGCTGTCACCTTTGCAGTCAGGTCAGAAGGTGAGGGTTAAGCTAGATGGGGTAAAAGGATGGAAAACGTCAGGGAAGGTTGTTGTTCATGCTCCTGAGCCTCGATCATACTACGTCAAAACAGAAGACGGGTTCATCGCTCGCAGAAACAGGAGACACATTCAGCAGGTTCCTGAACAGACATTGACTGCCCCATCAGAAGTGCCTGTGATAGCTACCCCTAATGCTGCAGGTGATCCAGATGCTATCCCGGTGCAGAGCAGCACACAGCCGGTGGCTACAGACTCGCCACCGGGGTGTCCAGCAGTGCTGGACTGACCATAGGGCATAGCGGGCAACTGCCCGCTGGGCCGACCCTTTCATCTTTTATGGGCCGGTGTCTGTTTTTTTTTTTTTTTTTTTTTTTTCCTGGCCTCTAGTTGTTGCGGACAACTTGCCCGCGCCGCCCCACGCGACGCCTCGTAAAAGTTGGTGGATTGGCCAATTGGTAATAATACACTCTGGGCTGGACCAATAGCCAGAGGTCTGATGCACCCGCCAGTTGTTTGTGAATCTCAGTAAACAGACAGACGAGCTTTACAAAATGGAGAACAAAAAACGGAAAGCAGGAGCGGAGAAAATTCGACTAAAAAAGAAACTGGCCCTTCAGGCTGATGCTGGCACATGTGTTAAAATCTCACAGTTGTTTGGTAGTGAAGGTTCAAGTAAGATCAATTTAGGAAGTGATGGAGCCTCAGCCCAGCGACAGGTTGGAGAAGAAAAGAGGGAGGAGGAGGAGAAACCCGAGCCGGTGTTGTGCCATAAATTGACTCGCTGCCAAAAAATGATTAGCCACCGCGGGATCGCGCACGGTTAGGTAATTGCATTTCTAGACAAAATTCCCCAGGATTTCGCCCTAAAACTCAGCATATCTAGCAATATTGACATTCAGAAAGCAAAGATAACCTCTTCCGGTACTTAAACAGATGTTTATCGCGGATATTAGTGTGGCAGTGTTTGTGGCAGCCTGCGCGGGAGCACGAGGACGTGCTTGTGGAAAGAGGCAGGAAGAGGTGGCAGTGTGAGCATCCACAATGTCCCGAATGATCATGCGCCCTGGCTACTTGACCAAGTAGATGTCCCTTTGGCTGACTGGTTAGAGCGTGTGACTTTCACCCGGGAGTCTCGGGATCGAATCCCGCCCGGGCACTTGTTTCTGCACCTTGCCACTTTAGTTTTTCCAGTTCGGAAGTTGTTTTAAGTGTTGCTATTTGTCTTAAAGGTTCACAATGAGGATATATTAATCCTTTTTGCAATATTTGCGATTGAAAGATGGTTTGTGCCACAAACTTTGTGGTAAGAACTGGCTTTCTTTATGTTACAGCCTTGATACTAAAAAAAATAAATAAACAATGTAAAATGGCACCCTGTATTGAATGTAAACGTTGTATAAATGGAATTAAACAATTCTCCAGCGATTTAATTTTTTCCCCTTCCTTTCTTTAGTCTACTTGACATGGAGCCACAGTTAACTAGTTTGGGGCACATTTTTTACTAGAAAAATAGTATTTAAACTGATCAAGCTTCGGCTTTAATGACACTGTGTAGGTTACTATCTATACATTACTTTGCTCTATTTAAAAGTAACAAGATAAAAGCACTTTAGCACATAAAATTAAGATTGTCACTTGTCAAATAGACTACACCCTCCCGTTTACCTATAAGAAACGCCTCAAAATATCTTTAACTTCTTTATTGATGATTTAATTGTAGACAACTAAAATGGCATTTTACTTGCCAAAAAGTGATTGATTCGCTAAGATTTTCATGGAGGCTAAAATTGACCAAATAAGGGTTTTATGTATTATCTGTTGATGTTACTGTACTCATACTGCCTACTGTATCATCATAAACACCCCAAAAATGGCACAAAAAAAAAGAAAAAAAAAGAAAAGAAGATAATTTCCCTTGCCAAAAATTGATTACAGTGTCCTGGTCACCTGTAAAGGGTTACATTTACCTAAATATTACTTTATTTATTATCTCTTGATGTTATTAGTGCCATCACAGGATGCCGGTGTCTTTCACATTCATAAACACCTCAAAAATGGCAACAAATGATCATTTCCCTTGCCAAAAATTGATTACAGTGTCCTGGTCACGTGTAAAGGGTTAAATTGACCTAAATATTACCTTATTTATTATCTCTTGATGTTATTAGTGCCATCACAGGATGCTGGGTGTCTTCCACATTCATAAACACAGAGTCCTGGTCACCCATAAAGGCTTAAATTGGCATAAATATTACTTCATTTATTATGATGCTGGGTGTGTTCCACAATCATATTCAAATAAACGTGAAAATATTCTGTCCGAATATCTGTTTCTTGTTATAAATATAACAGCTAGAAGGATTTACAGTTAAAATAGGAGAAACACGTGACTCCCCAGGAAGGGTCGTAACACCACTTGCCTCATGCACATAAGTGAACAAAACAAAGCAGCATGGAGACACTCCGTCTCCAGCCACCTCTCAGGCAGCAGCCTGCACTCCCAAGTTCTACACGTCACCAGAACATAACCAACCGCAACACAATAAAAGCAGTGTTATACAAAATGGAAGGCCTGTAGTGTTTATTCTCTTACAGTAACAACTTATCAAATTTTTGGAGGAATTTATTTGAGAATTTTTTGGTTTTTATTAATTGTGCAATAGAAAAGTAATCGCTAGATTAATCATCTAAATAGTCATTAGAATAGTCGACTATTCGATAAAATAATCGTCAGAATAATCATTTTAAAAATAATCAGTTACCCCCAACCCTACTTTTTAGAATACCAGGATAGGAAGGATGGTGTAGGTTTACGTTTATTAGATTGATACATAAATACTACCAATAAGAAAGTGTACGTTGGTGTGTGTCAGAAACAGCGTAAGGCTTAATGTCTTTTCCAAAAAAAACAGGTGATGGGCCGGTCTCCAGTCAAAATGCCCGGGCTGAATTTTTGTCCCAGTCCAGCCCTGGTGTCCAGGGTTTATGACTCAGCGGACCTTGGCTGGGAGAGTTGTTAAGCCTCCTATCAGGTTCAAAGAATATGTTACAATTTAGTTCTTTGGTTGGTATATGAAAAGTTTCCCCTGTGTGAGTAAAAAAAAAAAAAAAAAAAAAAAAAAAAGACAGATGGAAAAATGGTAACAATGATGTGACAGGGATGTAAAATAATGTTTATGTTAAAGGCACAATGAGGAACAATTGTTTAATGTTTCTTTGCCTTATGGTTGTTGAAGTTTGATTAACATGTTATTTGTTGAGAAGTAAAATATGTGAGTACAGTTGGGAAAGAGCTAAAAGGGGGGAGATGTGATGAGATGTGATGCGAGCTATCTGCGGTTCCACTCCTGACCTGCAGGGGGCACGGCAGGGGGGTGTTGCAGAATGAGAGAGACTGATAGCATGTTGTAAAGCGGAGCTCGGTTCGGAGTGCATTAATAAAGAGGTTCCGAAGCTACTTCCATGAGTCAGTGGATTCATGACAGTTTCATGAACAGTTTGAATAAAGATTTTTCCAAAACGGTAGCTCGACATTACCGCCCTCTTCAGTTCTGGAATGCAATTGCACTGTTTCCATATATGGTATTGTGCCCAGTGCCCACTCCCCGCCCCGTGCTACAACCATCGACATTAATATATGCCGAGACACGATCGCTGTGCTGTTCTGAGATAACTCGGTGGACTTGGTGAGTTTTGGTAGTCAGTAGTACAGTCAGTAACGTAGTTGGATCTGGAACATTTACCGTCTTTAGTGAGTGGAGCAGTTCACTAGTGAGTGAACACCGTTTCTTTGTGAGGGTAAGCACGCTAGCGGCCTAATAGAGTTAGCATTACGCTATCGCTAAATCGCGAGTGGGGTTTTCCCTGTTTAAAATCAACAAAACGTTATTATCATTAAATAGTTTTAATAAAGAGATCCCTAGAACAGGCGCGCGCGGGCGGGCGCACACACACACACACACACACACACACACACACACACACACACACACACAGAGCTATTCTTTCCTCCCGTTCCCACACAACGGCAGCTCCAGAACAGCAGCTCCTTGCTGCAGACAGTTTACTCAACAGCATTGAGCATGAAAATGAACCAAGTAGCAAGTATTAAATAGAAAAAACAGGCTAAAAAGAAATGCCAGCTGATGTTTCAGAGCATTCTTTAAGCAGATGTTTTTCAGGGATGCATATTTACATGTAAATAAAAATAAATACAACTTTAGAAAGACAAATTCTACTGAGTAAATGTATAATATAATGACTTAGTAATCAATAATAATACTGAAAACACAATAGCATTTTGCTAAAACACACCTAAAGTTCATTTAGCTGGAATTCCCTGTGTTTTCATGTACATTACACGCCCGTGGAGCTGCCTCTTGGCCAGGACTCCCTTGAAAGTAAGGTTTGTGATCTCAATGGGACCTTCCTGGTTAAATACAGAATAAATAAATAAACTCACTACTTCTTCATGTACACCCTAAACGAAACCCTTTAGTGCTCTTGGCTCAGCTGGAGACGAGGAACCCTCAGGTTGTGTTGTTCTTACCTTTTCAGCTCCCAGCCCTCTGCTGATGTCACACCTTGCTTTCCTTGTTGGCTCCATGAGATGCTGCCATGCTGGATTTGACTTTTAGTGAGCCACCAGACAGAACTAAACAGGAGAAACCATTGTTAGTATTGTTGTAGAGCAGGGATTCCCTAAGTGTGGTGCGTGCACCCCTGGGGGTGCGCGAGCTGCCGCTAAGGGGTGCGCGAGGTGAAAAGTGTAATGGCTGCGGAGCTCAGAGAAGTCTGTCATATGTCACCATTAGCGTAGCCAGAAACTCATTTGTGGGTGGGCCTAAGAAAAAGTAAGTGGGCCCAATAAATGTTATTGAAAACAAGTATATTTTGCGCGTGTGTGTCCTCCGCATGTGCCCTAGCTTAATAAAAACAATGCGCAGAGCTTCAGCGCTCTGGCCTGCGCGCGCCGATATGTTCTGTATTTGATCATTTTTAACGATGTTGGAGAAATCTGAAGGTGGTGCCTGCCAGATTGTAATTAACACCCTGTCTCATGAGGTGTTCTGACATTGTAGACGTCAGACAAAGAACATTGTGGATGTAACAAAATAAATCAAGACACGATTCCCATCTGAGCATTTTAGCATTATTAAATTACATTAGCACACTGACTGTGGGACAGCATTCTAAATGTGTCAGGCTATTAACAGCACGCTGAAGATCTGAAATTCAGAGTGCGTCTGTCAGAGGTCAGACGCGTTCCAGCGGAGCCACGGCTCACGGATGCACATGTGAGCACATCTGGGCTGGGCAGAAGTAATTTTACAATATTGGTTTAAATTGCGCCAATAACGAGACGCGGTGACTGGAGCAGCTCATGGAGCTGTGCCACACACACACACACAGATTCAATAAGCACATGCGCAGCGCCGTTACTGCAGCATTTGTCATTCCAGTACACGTGGCAGCGGATCGCAGATTCAGCCACACCATAAAACAGCAATAAGTCGGTCTGAGGCAAAAGTGAACCTCATGGCTATAGCTTTTCCATCTTTTCCCCTATAGACATTTGATTACGCACAAGTAGGTGATCAGTTCAGGTTTACGCAGAACAGAAGGAAGGAGAGAGCTCTGGTTAAACGTTCCTACTTTCAGAAAACAGTTAAATTGCACTGTTTATGTGCTACCTCGGCACTCTAAATATTGATTTAAAATTAAATCAAAGGAAATTGTAATGGTATTGAATGTTTATTAATTATTATTTAAAAAATGAAAGTGATGGGGAAAAAGGTTGATCATTTTTTTAACCCTGTTTGTCGAGTGACTGTTTAGCTTGACGTCTGATATATATATATATCTATCTATCTATCTATATATATATATATATATAGATAGATAGATATATAGATATATAGATATATATAGATATATGCCCTGATGTGGGGGCTGGGGGGTGCGTCGACATGGTCGGGACATAGAAGGGGGTGCACGGCTAAATAAGTTTGGGAACCACTGTTGTAGAGCATCCATCTTCAGTTTAGTCAGTAGCTGAAAGAACAGAAGAGAACTCCGTGATCTCCGGTGCCCAAAGGTCCTCTTTTCCAGACTGGATCTGTCCTCAGCTGATCAGAACCAAAGCGTTGGATCTTTAATCTCCTGCGTTGTTCTGAAGCAGCATCTTAATCAGCTCCTGCTTTGTTTCTATTGCAGCTGTTAGCTAAACACGGCTAAAGAAAACCTGCTACCCCTTCAGGATCATCCATATGCTGGGACTGATTCATCGTGTGTTCTTCACCATCTGGACCTGGCCAGCATGGATACAGGTACTGGTGGATGAATGACTGAAACTTTTTGCCAGCCCTTTTTTTCCAGCAAAAATATAGTTTATAAAAATCTATTTAATACTATATTTCTACTACTGATGACACAGAACAAATTATGATGAATGATGGTTGAAACAAGATACCTAACACAATGAATGAGATGATGGGATGTAAGCTTAGATGTTACGTATAGGGCTGCAACTAACGATTATTTTCATAATCGATGAATCTGTCGATTATTTTTTTGATTAATCGGTTTGTTATTGTTTGCTATTTAACCTATACAAGTGATGAATACATGTCAGTTAAGAAAAAGAAAAACAAGAGAATTGTGCAGTTGACTGCAATCTATTTTATTGCACATGAACACAGTCAGTGGTGTAAAATGAGCTAAACAGTGCAAAATATCAGTCCAGAATAATTTTTTGGCATCAAAATATAAGAGGTAAATTCCATAAAAAATAATGTAGTACATGTTATCGAAAATATCTGCCCTTTTAACAAATTGTCCATTGGGGGTGAGTGTCTTGTTCCCCTATGTAGTTGTCCATCGTTGCTTGTTTTTCTCTGCATAAGAAAGACAAATAGACTGACATAAGTACACATATAAAATAAAGCAGCACACACACTACAACACTAAATCAATATTATATTATTTGAATTAATTAACAATATACAGTGATAATTTATTTTGATAAAAATGTGTTGTGTGAGGCGTTTTACGGCGTTAGACAGTAAAACAGCCTTTTAATAGTAAAAAGAATGACTTTTTCTGAATTTCTCCCTTTATTTAAAAATTGAAAGCGTACAACTATGCCGCGTTATATTCACCTGGACACAGCTCGTCTATATTTTTCCCCGCGGAGTTGTCCTTTTTTGAATGAGGAACATAGTTATGGGTTTGTGCCGTTTTTCTCTTAACGAGGACATTCTTATAAACAGACGTGCAAAATCTGGCAAGCGCATGACACACAACACGGAGGAGATTCACGATTGCATCTAGTCAATCAGAAGTAGAACACCGTAGACTGACGCGGCAAAAAAAAACATGTTTAACATCCACTATAACGAACTCAGCTAAAACACTAAGTCCCAAATTTGATCTGCGTGTAGTGATGGACCACTATATTTAGCTTGTTTATTTTCTGTTACTTACCGGGCTGGCTCTTCCTCTGCTGCATCAGCCCCCACATGTTTTCGTCTCAAATGTTCACTTAGGGGCGTCGTGCTTCCGTGCCATGCTAGATGGTTTTTGCATATTTTGCAGGTCACCCGTCTTTTCATGGCATCTAGAGTGAAGTGCTCCCATACTCGTGAGGTTGTTGTCCGGGGTTTCTCTTCAGTTTTGTCGCTTCTATTTTTCTTCCATATTTCTACTTGTTCCACCATCTCTCACAGCAAGATGCGCATCAGTAACGTGTTACGTCATGAAAACTGAGGGCACTTATTGGCTCATTTCTTCTTCTACGGCTCCACTGGTAGATCAGTGGCACATTACTGCCACACACTGGCGGCAAATTTAACAGATTGTAACCGATGTCAGATTGTGGTAAAAATAGACTTTATGCGGTAAAATGTGATTATTAAACAACTAATCGATGACTAAAAAAGTTGTTAACTATTTTAATAATCAATTATAATCGATTAAATCGATAAGTTGTTTCAGCTCTAGTTACGTTGCAAAACCTTATTAAGTGTCTTAGAAACTTGTGATGTCTGGGTTGTAAAATCAGTCTGACTGTACGGTTTAACAAACTATCAGTAATTCAACAAACCCATCCACGCCAGTTAGGCAGAGTCTAAGAACCCTTGTGGTGAAGGTTCCCGGTGCAATCCAGGGGGTCTGCAACGTCGGTACAGACAGACTGCCGGTGGAGTTGAACTTCTGGTATTGGAGCACGTAGCTCTACCCCAGATACGGCCCGTGTGGTCTGAGAAACCTTCCAGGTGACTGCAGGAAGCTGGCCTACTGTTCTCATCTGATGCCGCTTGCAAAGAAGGCTTTGACCTTGAGGTCAAAAAAAGAGGATGGTTCCTTATGCTTTGCTTACACAGTCGGCCGAAGCAGGTAGCTCACTAGAACTGGCTTGTTCAGGAAGTGAACCAGCTTTTATTTACCATTGTTTATAGTGCTGGGTATTGTAAAATGCGTGTTTTCAGTTTGTCCCAGACTGAGGAGGGTAATGCTGCAGATGTTGATTCTATTAGCATGGACGCTAATGACTGTAAAGAGAAAGGAAAGACGCTTCGACTGACGCGTTGACGCCTCAAAGCACCATGGGATTTGTAGTCTTTGCAGCAAAATGAGTCGACAGGCCACTCTGGTTCAAGGGGAAAAAATCTGTCTCAGGCCTAATGAATCAATATTTCTGACCATAACTCACAGCCTTCTACTCACAACCAATGTGAAGAAGCCTCTAGGATGAGAAGAAAACCATCTTCAAGATAACCAGAAATGTCCAGCTGTTGTTATATTAAAGCTCAGGATGATCATGTTCAGGATGACAGAGAATCTTCACCTAATGCAGGAAATGTGAGCAGAACTGGAAGAAATCTAGGTCACAGCCCTCATTTGAAGACATGAGGTCTGCATGGTGTTCCTATCAAATGGCTGTTAAAAAAGGCAAAATCCTCTTTTTTTATCTGACGTTATTAGCTCTAATGAGTAGGGATGTCCCGATAAAACCCTTTCACTTCCGATGCGATACCGATATTGCAGCCTTCAGTATTGGCCGATACCGATATCAATTTTATACGATATCAGCCCCAATCATACATACTTTTACCTATTTCGTATGAAAGGATTGCTCAAGTGACATTCCTTACAGGAATACTTTGCAACTTTTGTGTATTTTTAAATCATTTTCTTGAGCCAGTATGTGATAAAATGACCCTTTACAGCAGGGGTGTCAAACTCACACGGGGCCGAAATGAAACTCTGGGACGGAGTCGAGGGCTAAACTTAATATTTTTTGAAAAAGTGACGGCAAATTTGCACATTTTCTTTATCAACATATATGCAATTTTGAACCTTTAAATTTGGAAACAAACATATTTCTGCATTAACACTCAGGGGTGGACATTAACTTCAAAACCAACTGGCCATCCGGGCCGGTAACTCTGAATATTTACCGGCCCCACCAAGAATCTACCAGCCCCCCGCTGGTCAGCTGCCAAAACGAGTCAAAATAACAACCGAACCGTTTTAAATGTAATAAACCTTTATTTTGTACACATTCACAAACATAATAACGTATTCAAGTTTGAATTTGTTTATTCCCTCAACAACTCGATTTTGTCGTCGCATACTTCCGGCATACAACGCAGTACATCACCAACTCCGCTTTGCTGTACTCGAGCCATTGGCAGTGTTCGAGATGAACCAGTTCTGCGCAGATTAGACCAGCGGTGATCGGTGAGCAGTGCATGCCGGTTAGATTTGTGTCCGACTTGACGCCGACTTGCTCTGACGTCATGCATACGTAGGCAACGATAACCTCGTGAGATCAAGGCGGCCGCAGATTTTGGAGCAAGGTGCTGCAGTTGCTCTCCCTCGGCTGCAAAACCTAGATGACGGGAAACGCCTGGCTCTCACCTGATCTAAGATCTGATTGGTTCATATTTTGATCCAAGCATCCGGTGGTAGAACATGAAATGATAGTTGATCACATGTATTCATTAAATCATGTTACGTTGATGATGACAACAATATAGGCCATAAAGAGAAATGTGATTTGTTTTCTTTTGTCACGTTTCCTATGAGCACACTGAAGCTACAGCTGATAACCTTTACTTATTATTACAGTCATGTCTCCATATACAATATATGATATCCACAAGCACGTGAGGATGTGTTTCAGCTGCTAACAGGCACCAGAATTAAAATTGAAAAATGAACAAGTGTGAACGCTCACGCAATATCTTCAGCCACCATCACCCCCGAGCTACACATGTAGGGAAATCTGTCCGGCTGTCAGCCCCTCCCCCTGCTGCTTCCGTCTTCTCTCGTCTGTTTTCCAGGCGAGGCGCTGCTCAACTCGAACACTGCCATTCTCTGCGCCTCCCGTCTTCTTTAAACCTCCAAGAATCATTCCACCTACGCACACGCTTCTTTGCTTCATACCGTTTCAAACTGTCTCGCTACTCCTCACCAGTTTTAAAGCATTTTGCCAGAGATTTCATCAAGAAATCCCATCCCTGTGGCGGCGGCATCTCCCTGCGTGCTTGTGTGTTTCTAGCGTGGTTCCACTTTGTCTTTAATAGTGAACTTATAGTTCACGTGACTATAACTAGAATCGTGCAGTACGTGGCTAGAGGTGCGCAGGTTCACGCGCTCAAAATGAAAACGGCGGCTTCCTACAGGGCGGGGCCATGATGTAGGTGAAAGCCGGTGTGTAAATGACAAATAAGGCTTGGGCGCCACCCGGGCGGTGAGTCATCAAGTATTTACCGCCCAACGAGAAAATTTAGCGCCATTGGCGCTCGGGCGCTTTAAAGGTCCACCCCTGACACTGAATGTGGAATAACCAAATTACACACGAGCAAGTCAGTTTTAAATAAAAGGCATCAGTGGTATTCATTACTTGTGGTATAATCAGCATTTTTAAAATCTATTCAGGATTTATGTTTTCTTGTTGTTTGTTCATTTTTCTTATTTTTTATTCTCTTTTTTTCTCCTTTAACAAGTGTCATCGCTGCTGTGACATATAGCTTTCCCCACTGAGGAACAATAAAGGGATTTTCCATTCTATTCATCTATCTGCAGCCTTTCCACTTCCTGTTTACTGTAGGTTAAATCTTTGCTCACGTGCCAACACCAAAATAAATATATAATTTTATCTTAAATGAAAATGCAACATCTCACCTGCTAACTTTCATGTTTTGGAGCAGAAAAAGAGCATAAAACCAACATATTTAAAGCTCAGTTTGCTCCACTGGTTTACTGTGATGCTCACCTGTTCCAGCCAGATACCTGCATCATGGGGCTGATCTGAGCTGAG